ACCCGCTGTAATTTATAATCTTAGAGAACTGTCAGGAACACTGAGAGATTGAAGGACTTGTTCCTGTTCACAGTTAGTATGTGTTGGGGGGAGAACTTGAACTCGGGTCTTCCAGGCTCCAAGGTTAGTGTGATACCCACTGTGTGGGGCTGCTTCTCATTCAGTCAACATTGATTAAGCACCTGCTCCGGCCCAGGCACTGTGTGAAGCACAGAGACACGTTTAAAATAGTCTGTTTTCACTCTATCCATCAAGAGACCATATGTATACATTTACATTTAAGTGTATATATGTGTGTGTACATATGCATGTATGTATGTATATATATATATATATATATGTCCAGAATATATGTTAAATAAATATAAGGTAATGGGGGGTGGGAGAGGGAGGTCACTAGAAGCTAGGGAAATCAGGAAGGGCTTTGTGGAGATGACACTTGTGCTGAGTTGGGAAGTTTTTGAAACTTAAAGGGTTCTAAGAGACGGGGTGAGGCAGGAATGTCTTCCAGGTATGGGGAACAGCCATTGCAAAGGCAGAGAGATTAGAGATGGAGTATATGCATGAAGAATAGTACTGGTTTGGCTAAGCATGGTAAGGAGATGAATACATAATAGGTCTGGAAAGGCAGGTGGGGCCAGGTCATAAAGTGCTTTAAATGCCAAAGGGAAGACATTTATATTTGATCCTAGAGGCAATGGGTAGTCATCAGAGTTTACTGTATGGAAGGACAGACTGGTCAGACCAGCACTTTGGGAAAATCACTTAGTAGATTGTGGAGAATGGCTTGGAGCAGAAACTTGAGGCAAGGAGAGACCAAGGAGGAGGCTCTTGAAAAGTCCAGGTGAGAGATAATGAGGGCCTGAAGGAGGGAGGTGGCTATGTGAGTGAACAGAAAGGGCCAGAGGTGAGAGATGCAGAGGTAGAAATAACAAGACATGGTAACCGACTCTGAGGGGTGAAGGAAAGTGAGGATAAGGTGTTGAACTTTGATAACTGGAAAGACAGTGATGGCCCTGACAGAAATAGGGAAATTCAGAAGAGAGAAGGCTTTGGGGGAAAAGATGAGTTCCATTTTGGGTACACTGATTTTGAGATACTTGTGGGATGTTTAGTTTGAAATAAGCAATAGGCAGTTGGAGATGTATGACTGGACTTCTGGAGAGACTGGCTCTCTCTATCATAAAAACTGGCGTTTATAAAGTGTTATTTGAGCCTCACAACCACCTCGTGAGGCAAGTATTCATTATTATCATTCCTATTTCACAGACAATGAAACATTTGCTCAGAGAAGTAAGTGACTTACCCAAAGCTGCACAGGTAGCTAGCAAGTATCAGAGGTGGCATTTAGACCCAGGTCTTCCTGACTCCCAAGTCCTGACACTATTCTCAGGGTCACCTTGCTTCCCATCCATTCCCCCAACCACAGTCATGATACATGTTGACCCCTAACTCGTGTGACATTTTCCCCCTGTAGACTCTGTGCAGGAGCTGAGGTGCTACAGAATTTTTCTGAGCCAGGCCCCTGGACCAGGACTATGTCGGCACAGAAACATGGGCTTTGGGTTGGTCCTGAGCTTTTTTTCTTTTGTGCTGTCCCTTCAGACCTGCAGTGCTTAACAACCGTGTGGCCCTTATTTGCCTGCCCCCTGAAAACTATGTGGTGCCAGGTAAAACCCAGTGTGAGATCGCTGGCTGGGGAGAGACCAATGGTAAGGAACATAATAGTCCCAGAGAGTACCATTAACCTTTATCTCCCTCCATGGATACTCCCCTTCTGAGGCTGCTCCTTGATTGGATTACCTCCCTCCTGCTGCTTTCTGAATGTTGACATTGCCCAAGACTCATTACTTGGTCTCTTGCTTTCCTCTTTCTTTCTGTAGGTTGTCAAAACCCATCTACCCTAATGGCTTCAATAACCATCTGTGTGCAAATGACTTCCAAAGCTCTTCTGAGCTCCAGCTCATTATCCAACTGCCTAAAAATCCACCTAAATGTGCAACTGGCACCTCAAACTCAACAAGTGCTGAGCCAAAAGCTCATCTCTTCCCCAAACCATCCTCTCCTCCTGCCTTCCCTAATTCTGTCAATAACACTCAATTTCCCTGTCTCAAAGGCTTCAACTCTTCCCTCTCCCAACCAGAGCTGGTCAGTTATCAAGGTTGATCATTTTCTTCTCCATCTCTCACATCCTTGCCCCCCATTCCATTTCCACTGTCACCACCTTAGTCCAGGGCCTCATCCCCTTGTATCTGGCCTACTACAATATCCTCTTCATTGATTTCCATCCAACTCAACAAGCATTGATCAGGAGTCTACTACAAGAAAGGGAGTGCTTCAGTCCTCTCCTCCCTACTACTCTGGGTATAACCACCCTCTGCTCAAAAATCTTAGCTAACCCCTTCTCCCTCCTCTTTCATAATAGGTAAAATTTCCAATTCCTTGGCCTAGCTTAGCATTCAGGGTCCTGCTCGGCTCTCATCTCCCTCTCCAAACTTGCCTTACATTATTCCCTTCCACACCTTTGCTTAACAGGGTTCTCTGGAGATGGAATCTCTGCTTTCCTTGCTTATCTGAGTCCTACCCATCCCTTGTTCCTCATCCTTCCCACATATGGGAAGCAGGATGGTACAGTGGAAAGATCACCTCTGGATCACTCCTAAAAGGAAATGGAATGGATAAATGGGTCATCTCAGTTTACCCAGTTAGGCCAAGTCTACAGCCTTGAATCCCTGAGCTGGCGGTCATTTTCTTTTTTAATTTTTTTTTTCATTGAACAAAAAAACTATTTTCTCTCTCTTCTACTTCTCCTGCTTCATTGTAGCAAACATGCATAGTCAAGCAAAACAAATTCCCACATTGGCTACGTTCAAAAAAATGTTTCTCACTCAGAAGTGAGTTATCACCTCTGTCAAGAAGTGGGCAGAATGAGTTATCAGTCCTCTAGAATTGTGGTTGATCAGAGTTCTTAATTCTTTCAAACTTGTTTGTCTTTACAATATTGTTATTGGAGAAACTGTTCTGGTTCTGCTCACTTCCATCTACAACAGCTCATGTAAGTCTTCCTAATTTTCTCTGAAACCATCCCTTTCATCATATACAATGGTATTCCATTACATTCATATGCCATAATTTGTTCAGTCATTCCCTAATTGATGGGCATGTCTTTAGTTTCCAGTGTTTTGCCACCACAAAGAGCTTCTGTAAATGTTTTTGTATATATGGGTCCTTTTCCTCTTTCGCTGACCTCCTTGGAGCATAGGCCTAATAGTAGTTTTGCTGAGTAAAAGGGCATAGATGCTGTAGGCCTTTTTCTAGAATGCCTAACTGATCCTTTCCCTTTCTACTTCTGGGAGGAAAGGGGTGTGTGGCCTTTCGCTGGCTGGTGCTGGGAAGGTACCAGACCATCCTATTCTCTCCTAGGAACTGGCAATGACACAGTCTTGAATGTGGCCCAGCTTCGGGTCATCACCAATGAAGAATGCAACATCAAGCACCGGGGCAAGGTGAAAAAGAATGAGTTATGCACTATGAGCCCAATGGTTCCAGTAGGGGCCTGTGAGGTATGGTGACATCTGGAGGCTTAGGGGCTGGGGGAAGGGAGGAGGTGGGAAGGTAGAAGGAGCCGCCCTACAGAACTCCCTTACTTAGATACCATACTCCCTGGGTTTTTTAGATTGACAACTGAATGTCAAGCCCCACTGGCAGTGGAGCTTATGCCTGGGAAGGATCCCACCCCACAGGTCCTTTTCTGAGGCATGAAAAGAGGGAAGGACAGTTCACTTGAGCCCCTAGATAGCCACCCATGCCTTGTGTCCTAAGGATGAACCTGAATGGGTCTCTGAGATCCAAGGATCATAGATCTGGAGCAGTGGAATACCTTAAAAAGCCACCTAATCCAATTCCCTCCTTTAATAGAGAAGGAAGGTGGGGATCAGGGAGGTTGTGACTAGCCTACACAGTATCAAAGGTGGAATTTGAAGTGACTCCAAGTTTGGCACTATCCATGACACCATGATGTATGTCTGAGGAGTTGTGGTCTTCTTGTCCCCGTAACAGCTAGTCTGCTCACTTGTGTAGTGAAGGTCTCAACTTTCCCCCTCCTAGGATTCCCCCAAACCTCAAGGCTTCACTGGTACCATTCCTTCTCCTTCCAGGGGGACCATGGAGGCCCATTGGCCTGCTATACCCATGACTGCTGGGTCTTAGAGGGAATCATAATCCCAAATCGTGTCTGTGCCCGACCGGGATGGCCAGCTATCTTTTCGCGGATCTCTATGTATGTTGACTGGATAAACAAAGTCATAAAACTGAGCTGATGGAGGTGAAGAGGAAAGGTCATTTCTTCAGTGTCCCTTCACCTTGGCCTTTCTCCCATCTCTACCCATCTTGGGCTCTTACTGATCCTTACCCAAGCCAGATTTTCTGGCTTCCTATAAGATGCAGTTCTGGCACCACCTTCTCTCCAAGAGGCCTTTACTGGGCATTCCAGCTAAGGCCACCCTTCTAAGGTTATCTTCCACCAACTCTGTATTTATGTGCTGATTTACATATGTTGTCTGCTCCGTTCAAATGTAAGCTCCATGAGGGGAGGGACAGTTTTTGCTCTTACTCTGTATTCCCTAGCTTAGCGTCACAGAGGAAGCACTTAATAAATGCTGCTGAGAGCCTGTAATGTCGTCATTGTCAAGGCCCTGGGATGGCGGTGGGATGGAGAGCAGAAAGGGTGTCATTGTCCTACAAGCATAAAGCCCTCCTGTCAGGGGCACTGGAGTGTTTAGTCACTGTATTTCAGGGGGTCTCACGCCAATCCCTCATCCCTGTGGTGCACACTCAGCCTCTGCAGCCACCCTCTCCCTATTCTGTGGGGAAGGCTGCACCAGCTGGGTGCTGGCAGTGGGCACTTATTTCCAGGTGGAACAAGCTTCAGCTTTCACCAAAGCCTCTGGAGGAGGAGGGCTCCTGCTCCTCTCCCAAGAAAAGAAGCCAAGAAACCCACCTTTTCACCAGGGTCATGTTTATTAGCACATACCTCTGCTGAGCACTGTTGGGATCTATGGTCCACAATGGGCCTAGTACCTAGTCTTAGGGGCCAGCCAGAGTCAGTCATTGAACACAGGAATTAGCTAGACGGCCTCCGGGAGATGTAGTTCAACTCCCTCATTGAGCAGATGAGGAAATGGGCCAAATGCTCTTTTCTCTACATCTTGCTTCTCTCTTCTTAAAACCACCCCCTAAAGCACTAAGACAAGGGCTCAGCACTGAGCAGGGGCAGCTGAGTTCTGATCATACAGAAGGGGCTTGCAGAAAATACCCAAACTCAACCCCAAAGAGCAACGTTGCAGGTTAGCAAGTGGACATCAAGACGCATCCCTTTGCACCCCCACTGCCCTCCAAGGTGGACTCAGACTGGACAGGCCCATCCTGTAGAATCCTAGGCTGGAGGCACAGATGGCTCCTTGCTGGTTCAGCTGAAGGAAGTGGCCTACTCCTTGGCTCTCCTTGTAAGACAGGCCAGACAGGGAAAGTGGGAGCTCTTCTCTCACCTCCCTCTAGCCAGGGAAGGGGTGTAGGCCCTGAAAGGCTACACCATACATAGCCTGGGACTACATTCAGGATGCTCCTCTTCAGCTTATTAAGAATCCCTCGTTAAGACAGCTTGGCGAATGGAAATGTCAGTATTGTGTTATCACAGCATGGGGTAAGAGAGAGAGACCAGCAGCGACAAATGGGCTGGTGCCCTGACAGACGCTGCTCGCTGCTCCTGGCTCCTCAGCGTTCCAGGTGTGCGTGCAGCCAGAGGACGGTATTCATGAAGCTGTCAGACTCCACTTCCACCTCAGACAGTGAGTGGTTGCTCCTGGGATACAGCAAGAACCTGGAGAACACAGGCTATCTCACAAATCCATCCATCCCCCCCTCTTCCTGGCAGCGTGCTAACTCCAAGGCGTTGCCAGGCCCCCACAACTTAACTCAGGACTTACCCTCCAGGCTCCAACCTGATTGTCAGCCTTCCCCAGCCCACCATATGCTAGCCCTGCTGAGCCAGTCGCTTTTCTCTCGAGCAGTTAGTCCCCCAAGAGGAGGCAATCTAGGTGCCACTACTCACCGCACAGGGACCTTCCTGGCTACAAGAGCCCGATAATACTCCATACCCTGTTTGTAAGGAACACGCTTGTCTTCTTGGCCAAGCATGAGGAGAAGGGGTGTCTTAACCTGGAGAGAAGAAGAGGGAGGATGCTCTCGCCTGTGGTCTAGCTCCTCCCCTGGTGAAGGGGCAGTGGGAGGGCAGGAGGAGGCATCGCACCTGAGAAGCATACTTGATCGGCGATTTGTCCAGCATCTCTGCCCAGGTGGTGGGGTCAGGGAGGCAATCGGTAGTATAGAGAAAGCCTGTTTCTACCATGCACCTGTGGAGAGACCGGACTGAGTACAGAGCAGAGGGAGAGAAAGATGGAGCGATGCCAACTGGTCTTTTCCTTCAACTTTACACCAACTGCATGGGGATGGTCCAGAGAAGTCACTCCCTGGTTAATTTTCCTCCAAGGGCAAGATGGGGCCAGGACTACCTGGAAACCCTCTAGCAGATGCCATTGGGATGGGTTTGAGGCCTAGGGGGCAACCTCTCAGGCATGTTTACTCTGGCCTGTCAGATGCACAGTGAAAAGGTGATCTTTCTCTAACCTTTGGGGGGTAAACAGCTGATACCCCCAGAAAAGGGGGGGGGCATGGGGTTAGGGTTGGCTCCTTGCCCTCCCTTAGACACCTCTGGTGCAGGGCATACTCACCAGTCAGGAATGTCAGTAGAGCCGAACATGGAGGCCACATTGATGACAGGATTCCTAACTATACAGGCACTGTAGGTATCTGGATACTGGCCAATCAGGTGGCAAGACAGGAAGCCCCCATGGGATCCACCCATGAGTGCCACTCGCCCCCTATCAAACTCCTCCTCCTGCAACACCTGTTCCACCGCAAACTGCAAGAACAGAGGAGGAGCCGTGGCAGGTCTTCCGTGGGCTTTCTCCCCTTCCACAAGGAGGGCTGCAGCCCACAGGGAAAGGATCAAGGCAAGAGCATTTCTGCTAGGCCCTGGCAAGCAAGTGACCAAAGGATACAACCTGCCATTCCCTTTGGACGGAGGAAAAGGGAACACATTCCTGCAGCAGGGATAGGCTGTTAGTAAACAGCCCAATGACTGCACTGGGGAACCTGGACGATGTAGCAGATGGCTCTGAGAGAGGCCGAGCAGACTGCAGGCCTCGGACACCGCTGATCAAAGGGGCAAGGAACGCAAGGAGATTCTGTCATGTGGACCCACAGAACAGGGGTCAAAGGCAATTAGGGAGACATTAAGGAGCAGGCCTCTGACATGTCTGGTCAGGATGGCTGGGACTTTTGTGTGGGAGTTGTTAGGTGATCCCAGGGCTCACAGACACTGAACTGTCAGGCATGTGCTTGCTTTTTGCCCATGAGTGGCATGCAGCTTTAGCTCTGGCCAGGCAAAAGGAAACAGTCTCCAGCTGAGGTCCTGGGGCAAACCACAAGTCCCAAGCTATGGTTATCTCAGGGCTAAGGAACCAGCTTTTCATTCCCTATAGAGGTAACTGTACAAAAGGACCTCTCTGCTCATCCCATACCTGAACATCCTTCACATCTTGGTCTCCCACATTCCCAGGGAGGGAATAGATGCTATCCTGCCCAAAGCCTGTGGAACCTCGGTAGTTCACTGCAAACAGATGGAGAGACCGGAGAGGTGATCAGAGCAACATCCCTGTCTGTACTGCACAGAAGGGATCTGCATATCTTGGGGGGGGGTATTATTTTTCCCCTCAAGTTCCTTGTGCTGCTTATGCAAATATGTCTGACCGTTTTCGTAAGTGTCAGTGCCCAGTTGGAGTGGTCGGCTTACAATTTACAATTTAGCCAACGTTTCTCTGGAGCCTGAGTGCATGGGTGTGACGCTGTCAAAGGCCAGGACCTTTCTCTCCCTCCCCAGCCCAAGCTAGAACTCTGACGTGGCTGGAGCCAGGAGCGGCGGCGCCACCCTCTGGCCTACTACACCATGTAGTGTAAAAAGATTACTAGGTTTGGAGCCAGAGGACATGGGTGTGAATGCTAACTCTGCCACTTCCAGGACAGCTGGGAAAAGCTCCATTTGTGCTAGGAGCCAGTGATGTTCCAGCAAGAGATGGTGCACTATCACCTTGCCAGGGTGTCCCCCCCATCACATCCTGGCAGGTGCCCTCAGACAATGCTTCTCACTCACCTAGCATCACAGCAAAGCCCAGCTTACAGAGGACCGCAGGGAAGAGCATCCAGCTTGCTACAAAGGATGAATGGGGGCCCCCTACAAGACAGGGTGAAATTAGGTGTGAGGAGCTCCAGAGGGGAGGAGGGGTGGGGAGTGTCAGACCGGGAGAGTGGGAAACCTACCATGAGGCATGACCATAAGTGGGATCTTGGACTTCTCAGCTGTGCTGGAGGGCTGAAGGAGGATCACTTCAAAGTCAAGGCCAGCTACAAGGGAACAATCCAGGGCAGTCATCAGGAGAAATCTCAGCATTTCAAAGGATTTTCTTAGAAATCATGAATTTGCTCGGCCAAGAGAAAGGCTTTCACTAAAGGGAATGTCACGGATTCTTGAAGGACCCAGAGAAGAGGTCAAAAAACTTGTCAAAGGGCCCACACAACCCCTGCCCCACTGCTGGGGAGAACCTCAGGGAGCAGGAGCCTGAAAAAGGCTGCCAACATGCACACTGGGCGGGCTGGAAGCTGGGCCTGCTGTCCCGGAGATGGGGATGAAGGTAACAGCCTCAGTGCAGACCTCAGTAAACAGGAGGTAGGGGCCTTCCCCATCACCTTCTTTTCAGACACCTCAGCTCTAGTACCCCTTACTTTTAGCCAACATTTCTCTGGAGCCTGAGCGCATGGGTGTGACGCTGTCAAAGGCCAGGCCCTTTCTCTCCCTCCCCAGCCCAAGCTAGAACTCTGATGTGACTGGAGTCAGGAGCGGCGGCGCCACCCTCTGGCCTGCACACAGAAGCTGACTCTGCCACCGAGGAGGTCATGAAAAATTTAATCGTGCTGCTTTCCCTAAACTCCGCTCCGAAAATCTGACATGCTAAGTGCCTCACCTATCTGGCCTGAAGTTTCCTGAATACTTGGGTCCTGACATTTGGGCATGTGATTATTAGAACTGAGCAGCCCTTGTGAAACCTTGGACAGAGAAGAAAATCTGTGTTAATCCTCACTCAGGCCTTCAGTTTTCCCACCTGGAAAACGAGAGGGCTGGACTAAATGAGCTCTAACATTGTGTTCTACAATCCCTTCTAGCCATGATGTTCACGTTCTGTGAGTCTAAAGCAGTACTGATATCAGCTCATGTTAAGTCAAATGGTAACCTTGTAAAGTTACAACTGACTGAAATACCAACACTGTTACAATGATGGCCATACAAAAGTAACCAAGTCATAAAGCAAAATCTGAAGATAGTTACTAACGCCACACTGCATTGCAACTGCCAACTCCAAATGCTCCCAGGGATTTTTGCCTGTGGCACAGCGGAGAAGCACAGCAGAATCCACCCTGAGGAGCCCCTTGGGGGTATGAACCGAGAGCGTGTGGAAGGAAGGGCCTGTCATTTCATGGAATCTGGAGGAATCAGCTTCTGCCCAATGCTGCTGCCCCATCCCTGGGGCCATCCCCAGTATTCATGTCCCCTGATTCCCTTCCCTGATGACTCCTGCTCAGACTCACGGTACTTGGGGTTCTCTTGCTCAGGAGGAGGTTTCAAAACACGGATGGCCCAAGTGATTTCTGGGATGGACTCTGCCTCTTCCAGGGTTACCCAGAGGATCTCTTGCTCCTTCCCTGAAGGAGGCAGGAACCCCACTTTCTACCAAGGAGAGAAAACCTGTTATAGAACAGCCTGCTGGGTTTAATTACCTTCTTCACCCCATTCTCTTTCTTTTAAAAGAAAAATGCATTTTGAAGTCTCTTAAAATTTGCCACTGGATCAGAGGAATACGAAGGAAGATGTGTTCTGTTGTGCTCAGTGTAAGGACACGGAGAACTTCAATTTTACAATGTACTACTCAGTCAGATCACCAAACTCAAACGGATGACTCATCTAGGACTTCTCAAGTTTGACATGAATTGGTGGGGGATGGGCAGTGAGTATGTGACTGATGTTTTGTAACAAGGTCAAAGGTCCTCGTTGAGGCATGCCTTCCTCTTCAATTAAGCCTTGGTTTGAACCTCAAGGTCAAAATACAGAGTGTGACTAAAAACTTAAACACACACTACAGGGCAGATCCAGGACCTGGCAATCTGACTCAGAGATCTCTACACACTCAGCCTCAGGCTCTCTCCTGAACTTTTATTTATTAGGCATTTCAAACTGGATGTCCTGGAGACATCTCAGACTCAGTACATCTGAAACAACTCGTCTTCCAGTTCAGTGAAACTGACCACATCTGACAACATCTGCAACATCCTGATCTAGGCCTCCGGCTGTTCTGAAAGGAAGGAGGCACATTCCGCCATCTTTTGCCAACCCCACACCGGTACAATGGTACAATGTAAATATCACCCCCTTCTTTCATTCCTGCCTCAGGGGTGGGCAGGGTACAAGGCTGAGGTTCTTCTACCAAGAAAAACTGTTCCCATCTCTTTTTGGTCTGAAATAGGAATGATATGGCTCTCTCCATGTAAGACACCCACTACCCACAGACCTGGAAGGGTATTACTAAAATTTGTTAAACCTATCCTAGCTACTTCCAGCAACTTTTAATGGAGAAATCAAAAAGAGGTGAAAATTGAGGGACGGAGCAAAAACTGGTCTAAGTGTCTAGGCACAATCTTTCCCTGGTAGAATCCTGCTTACATGTGACCCTGTGACCCTGTTTTTTCCCTGTTTCAAAGGCATTTGAGGTACTTACCAAGCTTGGTGGTTGGTTGGGAGAGGAAAACTGAACTAGCATGAGGTCTTGGTCAATTGTGAGCAGCTTCCAGCTTCCCAAAGGCAGCCCTAGAATGCAGCAGATAGGGTGCTGAGGGACTCTTTTGGACGCAAATGCCTCACCACTCCCCTAGCCCCTGAGCAAAGTTAGGTCCTACTAAACAGACCCTTCAAATGTGTTGAGTTCTAGGCAGAGTGACACTCTCCCTACCCTCAACACCATGCCAGTGTCTCTAACCCCAGGCACAGAGTCTGTATTAAATAATTTAGTACTTAATTATTTTGTCAGACACTGTTAGCTGTTTTTCTTGTATTTGCTGATTTTTCCCAACAGACTGTGAATGCATTAAGGTAGAGAACAGATCTCACATTTGTATTCAACAATTCAATTGACTAGCACAGGGTTGGGGATACACAGGTGTTCAATGAATGCTATTTTTGGACATGGCCATTTGGGAAATTTGTTTTGCTTGGCTATACTACTTGTTTTTCTTTTTTTTCAATGGGAGGTGGACAGAAGAGAGAGAAAAGAGATTTTTGTAAATTGAAAAATAAAAATATTAATTCTAGAAAATGTTAACTGACTGATACACATGAAGGCTAATTTGCCCCAAAGACGGATGGGCTTGTAAGGCTGTTGCAGGGCATATGAAAGGTCCAGCACCTTCTGGAGCAGCTCACACTCCTTGCCTCGTGGTAAATTAGAATGTGCTGCCCAGCGGATCACGGTGACTCTGAGCTCTTAAGTTTTTGGAGGGCACTGAACTAACACATTCCCTTGCTATGCCATACCAACTGTCAGGGAAGTCACACTGCCTGTTTGGGTATTCACTGCAAACAGATCCTGTAGAAGAAAGGGAGACAAAGGACAGTCCCAGGTTAGAGCACTAGCTCAGCACCAACTGAGTATTTTTTACAATGAGGTTTTGCATTTCTCTGGTTCTTGATGGCCTAAAAGGATACACTCTCCATGGTTTACATCAGTATCTTTCATTGTCCTCAAGTGGGCAGCTGCCTCTTTGTAAGAGTCAAAGCTCAGTGCTTCAATGACTCATGGTATAATGGAAAGAACCCTGGGTCTGGACTTGGGAGGCCTCAGTTTACATGTCAGCTCTTGTATCTCCTACTTGTTGTGACACGGGCAAGCTGTTTCACTTCTCTGGGCCTCTTAACATCTGTCAAATGTAGGTGTTAAGTAGCCCCAGAACCTCTGTCTCTCTCTAGCTGCCTTGGTCTCTGACTGGCAGGAAAAAGATGACAAGCTTTCTTTCTGAATCCTACCATCACCATCACCATCTAAGGGCAGAAAAACTCAGAGAGGAATGAGATACTCACCCAATAGCCTATGGGAAGTGTTGGCAGCTTTTTAATGAAGATAAAGCTCGAGGCAGGTGGGAGGCTGACTCAAGTTTTGTGTTCACTGGCCAGGGATGTAAACCAGAGTTTCAAGGGCCCCAGGAAGGACAAAGTATGCCATTTCCAAGTATAAAATGTTGCCCAGCAACAGCAAGAGGCGCCCATTCTCCTCACCTGTCGGCTTCGCAGGCCAGAATCAAAGACGACTCTCTGACTATCAGCTGACCAACATCCCAAAGGCAACAGGCTACAATAGATTCCAGAAAAGTGATCTAAGGAAAAGAATCAGATCTGTAATGGAATCTTAGAAAACACATGACTTACAACAGCCTTTTCACCACCCAGAGAATAAAAATTTAGGCCTCTGAGAAGGAAGCTTGAGACTCAGAGGTGGAAAACAAGGGTCACTTGGAGACTCTGTCTGTTTCACTGCTCAGAAAGGAATGAGAAAGTCAAGAGCACAAGAAGGTGAATTCTGTTTCCACCATGTATCTCTGGAACTAAGTCTGGCTGAGGAGGTGAATGTGGAAAACAGTTGATCCTGCAGGATTAAAAAGCTAACCCAGGGAGAGAAAGAGAAATACTATTTGGGGCTAGAATTAATCCCTGGGTGAGAGGAAGGAGGGCTCATTAAGGCCAAGGAAAAGCAGTCTTTAAAGTTTTCTTAGAAATCTAGCTGAAAACTATCAGGGCCCTAAGGTGGTTATGAGTTTTAAGGGGAAAAAAAATTCCAGAGTAGTTAAGAATAATCCTATTAAAATAACTGCATAGAAGTCTGGGCATGAAATAGAACCTAAAAACATGTATAAGTCAATGGGGCATCCTGTAACATAAAACCTAAATCACAATTATTTGACAATGTTTCTGTATTTGGAATTTAGATACTTCCTAATAGTGTAACTGAGGGCACGTCTACTTCCTCATCTATAAAATGGGGACACTAATACTTTTGCAGAAGCATTTGGCAAGCATTCTGATGAGCGAGTGCTATTGTTACTGATTCTGTTTGGATAGCTAGACCTGTGCTATTCAGCTAGGTACAAAGACACAGAGATGGGCATCTCTGGAGCACGAGTACCATTTTATCCTGCTGATGCCTAAGATGCATAGTAATACTAAAAGCCATCTAACATGTGGGCTGTAAACAAGATAAGGCCTGATTCTATACGTAAAATAATATTTAATGTGCACACAACACTGTGTGTATAAGAGAGGAAGCTAGGTGGTGCAGTGGATGGAGACCTTGAATTAGGAAGGCCTGGTCTTACATCTGGCCTCTGATAACATACTAGCTGTCTAACCTAGCAAATCACCTAACCATGCCTGCCTCAGTTTCTTTAGTTACAAAATGGGGATAACAGCACTACCTCACAAGGTTGTTGTGAGGATCAAATGAAATCATATTTATGAAGTACTTAACACAGTGCTTGACACATAGTAGGTGCTTAATAAATGCTTATTCCTTCCTCACCTGTGAAATCATAGGTACAGTCTCTATCCCTCTGTGTGTAGAGTACATGTATTTAGGTCTAATGTCAATGGCTTTATCTGCATACAAAAGAAAGCTAAGGTGTTGACCAAAGGTGCACATCAGAATCACCTGGGTAATTCTGGGATCATGCCAAGAAAGCTGAATGCTGACCACTGACCAGATGGGATCTCTGGGCAGAGGAAGCAAGTGGCTGATCAGGGTTACATGGTGTTAGTGTTGCAAGACAGAGGAAAAGGGTACCAGTCTAGGAGAGAGGCTCCTTTTCTGCAGATGAGGCGTTTCAGGTTCTTAGAGAAGCCTCATATTACAGAGACACATAGTTGCTCTCAGTCCCAAAATGGAGGACTTACCAACCCAATGAGCCCCTTGAAGAAGGTCTTCCATCCAAAGGGCATCAAGGCCCTAAGCCCAGCAAAGCTTCATCCTAATGGATCTTTTCTGTCCTCAGAGGCAGGACTATTTCTACTCACAGCAGCAGCAAGGGCTGCTCAGGCCTGGTTGGGTCTAGGCCTCATTAACCCTACTGCTACCTTTAGGTAATGAGGTCATTACTTGGTTACAGACTTTCAGATCATTTTTCCAGGAGAGGACAGCTCAACATAGGGTGAACTGATAAAGACATAAAAGGGTTTTCTTTCCAGCTGAGAAGGTAATTTGTAGTCTTTGAGTCTAGATCTAAACTACCCCCAGGCCAGATCTTCCAATTCTGAAATAGGCGGTGATAGCCTAATAGGGAAGGCTGTGTAAGCAGTGGCTAGTTAGTGTCCTCCATAGTCCTGTTGTGAGGGGTGACCTCTCTCTGCACATTCACATCCTGGATTAGTGTCATACAGCGGTAGCTACTGACGAGACAACAGCAGCAGGAATCTATGTTTCTATAGAGCTGTGATGTTTCCCAATGGCTTTCCTCACAACAACCCTGCAAGGTAAGAACAGACGCTGATCTCTCAGTTTACAAATGGAGAAACTGAGGCTTAGAGGTTAAGCACTGAGAGCAATGCTCCTTTACTAGGCCAGTGGCCTCTGAGAACTCATCAAATCCACACAGAAATCTAAGGCAGGCAGGCAGGCAGGCAGGTAAGTTCTAGCATAAGGTCAGAGCTGACAGGTATAAGTAGTCCCCTACCTACTGAACTGGTGAAGTGATCCTCTCCCCACAAGGACAGTGACACACAAGACTCCCCCGAGGTAGCTACACCAGCTGCTGGAATATTGAGGTAAAGACACTGCCAACCTCTTTCCCAAGGGAGATGGAGGGAAATGGAAGGTGAACAAACCTTACTACCCACCATCACTCAAGGCCCGTAAAATGACTACTTTCCAAGGTACGACAACGCAATTAGAAGAGGTTTCCTTGAAAAGCTAGTCAATGAAGTGACCAAAGCCAGCCAATGGTTGAAAGTCTAATCCCTCCTCTAGTATTCAAAGCTGCAGAAAAGAACAAGCCCCCATGGTTCATGCCTGGCACGAGCTGACCTGCAGCACTGCTCTACCCAGCTGCCCCTTGGTAAGAACAATCACCCTGGTAGCATTCCTGCAGGTTTCCCAAAACACCAAGGTTTCCACGGATCCTCCTTAACAAGGGGGAGACTTTGGCATCCAGAGCCCACCCCTGCCTACTAGCTCTGCTTCAGTGGGTCTCATGTTGAGGAGCACAGCACCTCAAGGTGGAGGCTGCAGGGCCAATGCCATTCATTCCAGCCGAGCCAAGTCTGCATGGGCCTCTCCAATCTGACTCTGATCCCCCTTTCCAGCCTGATGTCTCATTACTCTCCTTCAGGCATTCTCTGTTCCAGCTAAATTGAACTACTGCCATTCCACACACTGAACATGCCATCTCCTGACTGTCCTTTTCCACAAGTTCTCCCTTCTTCCTGGAACGCAGAGCCTTTGGGAAACTCCTCTTCTGTCAGCCGGTGCCAGCCCTTCATGAAGACTCCCTTGAACCTCTAAAGCTGTTAGTGATCTTGACCTTCTCAAGGTAGCTTGTTTGATATTTATCTGGGGGTACTCCCTCCAGAAGAATGTAAGCTTGCTGGGGCATTTAGTTTGTCTTTGTAGCACCAGAATCTAGCACATGTTTGTGCTGAACAGAACTGTATAAGGCATGGGAGCTCTGCCCCAAATCTCAGGTCCTAAAGGGCAGCATGGTATAATGGAAATGAGATTGGCTTTAAAATCAAGAGATCTGAGGTCTGCCCGTGACCTTGGGCAAGTCACTTCCTGTCCCTGGGACTGTTCCAGCAACTGGTGTAGCGACCTCGGGGGAGTCTTGTGTGTCACTGTCCTTGTGGGGAAAGGATCACTTCACCAGTTCAGTAGGTAGGGGACTACTTATACCTGTCAGCTCTGACCTTATGCTAGAACTTACCTGCCTGCCTGCCTGCCTGCCTTAGATTTCTGTGTGGATTTGATGAGTTCTCAGAGGCCACTGGCCTAGTAAAGGAGCATTGCACTCAGTGCTTAACCTCTAAGCCTCAGTTTCTCCATTTGTAAACTGAGAGATCAGCGTCTGTTCTTACCTCGCAGGGTTGTTGTGAGGAAAGCCATTGGGAAACATCACAGCTCTATAGAAACATAGATTCCTGCTGCTGTTGTCTCGTCAGTAGCTACCGCTGTATGACACTAATCCAGGATGTGAATGTGCAGAGAGAGGTCACCCCTCACAACAGGACTATGGAGGACACTAACTAGCCACTGCTTACGCAGCCTTCCCTATTAGGCTATCACCGCCTATTTCAGAATTGGAAGATCTGGCCTGGGGGTAGTTTAGATCTAGACTCAAAGACTACAAATTACCTTCTCAGCTGGAAAGAAAACCCTTTTATGTCTTTATCAGTTCACCCTATGTTGAGCTGTCCTCTCCTGGAAAAATGATCTGAAAGTCTGTAACCACGTCACAGTCCTCAAATAAGTAATTACAAGTCATCAGCATCTCACCTTCCAACTGTCGGGGTACAATGTCCACCACGACCGAGGTGACCTTTGTGTACCAGTCATACTGAAAGAAAGTGTGGAAACGGTTATGTCTCAGCTGATGGAGTTTCACATATTGACCCAAATGGGCTGGCAGCCCAATTCCACCTGGGCCTCAGAGAGTCTGTCCCATGACACCAGAGTCCAACTCTTAACCTGGCTCAGAAAGGCCTTGGGGGTTAGTGTTAGTGATAGGGAGGAATCCTGACTGTCTCTAACAGCATCTGCCTGCCTACAACCTAGACAGATCTTTCCTACTGTACCCAGATAAGATGTTAACACAGGCTTACACAGGTGCTTCTCAGGGAGGTAGACCTGTATTATGAGATCACTGTCTAACCACCAAATAAAAAGACAGAACCCCAAACAGCCAAGTGTGGTTTAGGGAGAGCTCTCTAACCTAGCAGACAAGAATCTTGGCTCTAAACTGGTTTTCCCTCATTACTTAGAGGTGTACCTCCAATTCAAAGAGAAGCTGCATGGATATGCTCCAGGATATGCCAAATCAATCCATTCCCATTTATTAAGTATCTACTAAGCCCCAGGCAATGTGCTAGGCACTGAAGATACAAATACAATACATGAAACAATTCCTACTCACATTCTAGAAGGAAAAACAGCAAGGACATATATTCATATGTGTAGAATACCAAATGTCTGTAGTTACTACAGTACACGCTCAGTTGCTAAGACTGAGCCTGGATTTTGCAGAACTCATTGACCCACCACTGCCTCTAGCTGAGCAACAATAAATGGTCATTCACCAACAGTGACAGCAAGATACAAGACATGCTCATGTGGCCTGTAGAGAGGTGAGGCTGGCCTGTCAAGGACATTAGTTGACTTCCTCATCTCAACCCTAGAAGAGCAATACTTAATGGCAGGCTTGCTCCAGACTCACCAAGCACAACTGGCTGCACTGCTGATGGGGACCGAGGTTTGTGCACCGCAAATAGATGATACGGCACTGGTCTGGACTCAGCCGGGGGGAACACACAGCCACAGAGTCATCCGAGAGGAGCTCTGTGACGAGAAATCAGGTGTGAGAAAGGGCACATCCTACACACTGGGAAGAAGGCACAACATTGGACTCCAATCCTTCAACCACTAGAACAAAATTTAAAAGATGGGGACAGTTGGGTAATTGTGACATGTTTTGTTTTTGTATTGGTCTGCTGCTACTGAAATTAGCGGTATGTTTTACATGTATGATTTAGTCTTTGAATCATGTTACTGATAATGCCTGCATTTTTAAGAATTGTGTGAAAGGTCTCTAATAGTAAACATTCTTATTTCCCATTCTGTTTAGAGGTTTAAGTTAAAAAGAAAAAAAGAAAGAAAGAAAGAGATCTGTGCTGGTAGGACCTAAGAAAGTTAGATAAATACACAGAACACAAGAAGTAGGTCACTTACCACATTTGCCACCGGTGAGGTCTACATAGAACAGAGCCGACCTGGAACCACCAGAGAGATTCTAAATTGCCCAGCTTGGAGCCTTCCTATCCCCATTATTCCTTCACCCCCTTAACAACACATTGGAGGAGAGCTGACAGGCAACTACAAGAGTACAGAAAGACCCAGCCCCCAGCTTCCAGTGCAGAGCAAGTAGCCAAGCCAAGTATAGGAAACACAAGGAGAAGTTAGACCAGCCTTGCCCATTCAATCTGTTCCCAGTCTTCTCACCTGCGGTTGGTACAAGAACGCATTCCTAGTCGGAAAGGCTCATGCCACCAGCCCACAAACACCACACCAGTATCACCAGGAGACCAGAATGCCTATGAGATACATAAAACCAAACTCGGAGCAACCAGTCAACTGGCCGGAGTCAGGGGAAGTGTGGCCAGAACTAGAGGGTCCCCAAGGGGCAACACACACACACACACACACACACACACACACACACACACACGGGATTTCACATTTCATCAACACTTAGGAGTCAAAGTATGGAGGCAGCCCCTGCTTCAGTGGTGCCATTAGAGAGAATGTCCTATTCAGGATTCTTTGAAAAACCCCAAGCTTTTATCGCTGAATGGGTCCTGTTTCTAAACCCTCAGATGACCATCCTCAGAAAGACTGTTCCTTTGTCCTGGTCAGGAATAAGAGAAAGCTGTGCTGACCTGTCCAGGGGAGACACTCTCTGGGACTCCCTCTAGCACTGAGATGTTCCCACTTTCAATATCCAGAACACACAGGACAGGGATACTTTTGGAAACCAAACTTTCTCCCCAGTCTTCATGAAATATATACTGATCCCCCTGAAAAAAAAAAAAGCAAAAAAACCCCAAATACGCTCAAAACACAGAAACCACCCTCAAACTAGTTTTGATCAGATATTCCACACCCTTAACCCCATTCAGATTTTCCAAGTGATCCCTTCTTAACTACTGTCTTAAGGTTATCATACTGAACGCTGGTTACTGCTATAGCAAAGATGGACAAAGAAGGTCTCCCTTTAAGCCAAGGAAACGTATACAAAGGATTAGGGCAAAAACCAGTCTGCACCTTGACTGCTTGGTCCTTCTTTGGTGTGGTTGTCTCTGCATCACTGAGCTCCAAGGCTTTGGTGTGGAAGAAAGATTCTGTCTTGGGACGTTTCTTCTCAGCCACGTAGAGAAGATGGCTCTCTGAGTGTGACCAGGACAGACACCCAAAACAATCTAGGAAGGAGGAGAACCAAAGTACCTGAATCTTGCCTGGATCTGGGTTCTACAGTCACTCCCCATCCCCCCCCTTACAGGTGGCTGGCTGCCTTCCAGCTGTCTCTTCAGGCTATGGATAGGGCTGACTTTCAATTTATAACAATAAAGTAGTACATTAGCATGAGTGACTACTAGTATCATCACTCCTACGGAATCTCACCATCCTCATACACAATCCCATGCTTCTCCAGCGCTGTTAGGTTGATGCTCTTAAGCTTGCAGTTCTTTGCCCAAACCTGAGGTGAAGACAGCGTGAAAGTCTCAAGCTAGCTCCCCTCCATCTACCATACCAGTCAGTCCCTTTCTTCTCCAAAAGTAGGAGCATCAGCTTTATTTTGCCTGGCTTGGTAATTTTCTATGACAAGGTAAGCTCCCCTGAACAACTGCTTCCACCCACTTCCAGATACAAGCCTTATCTACCAGATGATTCACTTACTCTGGCTAAGCTCCCCAAAACCACTTCCACCCACTTCTAGATACAAGCCTTATCTACTAGATGCTTCTCTTACTCTTGTCCTCTGGAAGAATCCTCCACCCAGTTAAAGATAAAGCTGAGTCCTGCCACCAGGCCATAGAGGTGCCACACCCAGTGGTTACTAACCAAACTCTAGAACCAGTGCCATGACTTGCCTCCAGGAACTGTTTCTCTTCCCCAGCCTTTGAACTCCCAGTCTTTCGAAGCACAGCCTTCAGTGCCCCTGAGGGGGAATCTCTGCTCAGCATCCTGTGGGAACATCATGACCAGATGACTCCTGGACCTGCCCAAAGCTAGTTCTGTCTGTTGGGGAGTTGCCAGGCCACAGGATTCTTATCAAAAAATAATTCTTCCTGAATTTGGCTTGACTGTACACATTTGCTGCAAGGAATTTGTTTTTCTTTTTCTTTTTTTTCAGTGGGGTGAGGAGTGGGAGGGAGAGAAAATGGATGTCCATTAAAAATTAAAATCTGATTTTAAAGAAAGCAACTCTTATTGTTAAGCTAGGACTTCTCACAGATAAAACATGATATGAACCATAAACTCAGATAAAAATCCAAATCCAACCCAACCTTCAAGACTCACTTCAAATCCCAACTCCTTCAACTACTCAGATATCCAAGGATACCTCCCTTCTCTGAATTGCTGGTACCTTTATAATCTACATAACACCTAATTGATTAGTAAGAGGGAAAGGGAATCATAAAGTTTTGGGTGCTAATGAAAAAGGCAATGATATTATTGATCCTAGGGTTCAGGATGGGAGATCAAGGAGGAGTTGAAGCCTAGAAGTCCCAACGAGGGCAAAAACCAGTTCAGTCAGTGTGAGGGAGTTTTAGAAGGGGAAGGCAAAGACAGAAGGGAAGCTCCTTGGAGATAGAACAGTTTTTGAATGGCAATTTTGAATGACTTCAAGACTCTTGGCGAATGAGGAGAGGTCTAGAAAAATATAAAGAAAAAAAAGAACAGTATAAGGAACAGGAAAAAGTCCGTGCTAAACAGTTTAGCATTAATTTTTCTCTAATTCTTTTACCTTTTAAAATTCTGTCTCTCTAAATAAACTGTAAACTCTGGGAGAGTAGACTTACCTCCCACAGAATGGCCCTGCAAGTAGTTGGCCATTCAGTAAATACTTTCCGAATAAAACTGTAAGATGCAACAGGTCACAGGTAAATACTAGGAGAAACTACTGAAAGGAAAACCAGCTAGCTTATCCAGGTAGCTATTGTAACATATCCCAGGGATGCAGATCAGAAATGAATCCTTGGGAGAAGGAGGATTAGGAACCTCTGAACAAGTATCCTTGCAGATGGAGGTACTGGGGCTATTCCCCTAACACTTACTCCCCCTTGGTTTCAATGCTGTTGCCCGCAGGTCCAGAAAACACCACAGAGCCACCATCGTGGAACACAAGATACTGGCGGCAGAACCGGATGCTCTCCATCCGATCCAGGTCTCGCTGGGTCCATTCTGTAAGGGGAAGCCCAGAATCTGCAGCCCCAACTCAGTCTGGTTCTTCATCCAAGCTTCCCATCCCAAGCCTTTCCTATCCCCCCCCACAGCTGTAAATGACTTCACTTTCTTCCAAAAAGGCCATCAGGTCCTCAGCAACATGGCGAATTAAGAGGATTAAGATTAAATAAAAGGATTAAAACCGAAGGAGAATTTAGTTTATTTTAGTACAACTCCATCATTTTACAGAGAAACAAACTGAGACAACTTGCTTGAAGTCCTCCAGAAAAGCTGTCTGCCAGAAGCCAGGTCTCCTACCTCCCGAAGTTATCCCGCACATCCCAGGGGCCTCCTAGTCCTCCCCATGGCCATCACCCCATGCCCAACCTCTTGGGTACCCGCTCCTGTCTCTGTTTTCTTCGTTAAGTCGGCCAGCACACATTCCCTCCCGCAACTAGAATCCCCCCAGCAGCCTTCCCCTCGGCGGCCGTCACTCCTCCCACCCCTCACAGCATTCTTCCGTCCCTGGATCCCCGCCGCCCCCTTCCAGACATACACATGCACACACATGCAGCAACTCACAGGTGTACTTTCCTTTCCCCTCCTGGGCAGGAAGGCCATCGCTAAGGGGACCGAGAGCTCCGCCAGGCCCCCGGCCCCGGGCCCCCTCTGCCGGATGGGCCCCCTCTCTCCCTCCCCTCCTCCGTCCCTCCCCGTCGAGCCCCCCGCCGCGGCACCTGTATGCACCGTGCGGTACTTGCCACCGTACTGGGTGGTGACCTCGGGTCCCAGGCCGGCGGTGACCAGCGCGGGGTGGCGGCTCAGCGCTCGGTACAGCGCCGTGGCCTCGTCCGGCTCGCTCATCAGCACCTGCGCGGGGGGAACACACGGGTCAGGCCGCGGCTGCCGAGCGAGGGAGAGCTGAACCGGAGCCGGAGCCGGAGCGCGCCGAACCCGTACCTGTCGCTCCATGGAGGCGGCTCTCGAGAGTATGGGGGCAGGGACGCTCCGCAGCCCGGAAAGAGCGGATCAGCTGTGGGGCGGGGCCCAGAGCACATTTCCGCAGAGCCAGAGGGCAAAGTGCTGGGGACGGACCCGCCCCCTCCACGGTGCGTCCCAATAGGAGGGGAAGGCGGGACCGGCGCGGGTGAGGCTCAGGGAAGGCGGGCTTGGACTGCTTTCTCACCAACCCCCGCCGCTCCCTATACGACAAGGGCACCCCCTCCGCGTTGGCGCACTCTCTAGGGGCGGGGCGTCAGAAGCACGGCTCTTCTGGTTGGTGGGTGTGGGCGGGGACTGCACTTGCTTATCCCTGGAGCCAGGCCCGCCCCTTGAGTTTGTCTGGGCCTCGGCCTGTCTAGGAGTCTGACGTTACCTGTCCATGTATAGCAATCCAGTAGTCTTACCACTGGACCCTGGTGACTCCAAAGGAGGAAGTGAGGCTGGTGACCTTGCACAGCCCTCCCTCACTTAAATCCAATTCACTTGCAAGTCATGGCATCACCTCCATGATGTCATGATCCTCCTACAGAAGGAAGAACAAACAACATGTGTAACGATCCAGTGTCCTGGCCAAAAGAAACTATTTACACACGTCCTCTCAGAAGTCTCCATGTTTTAGACGATTCCACTGAACCAGCATTTAAGAGCATACTATGTGCCAGGTACTGTGCTAAGCACAGGAGATACTAAAAAGAAAAAACAATCCCAGCTCTCCTGAAACTCAGTCTAATGGAAGAGACAAGGCCAGCAGCTATGTACAAATAAGATGTAGACAGCACAAAATGGGGCATCGTCTAAAAGGGAAGGCACTATCACTGAATAGAACTAGGAAAGGATTTTTGCAAAAGGTGGGACTTTGGCTGACATTAGAAGGAAGTCAGGGAAGCTAGGAGACAGAGATAAGGAATTAATCTATTTATTTTCATATTATTATATTAGGAAATAACCATCTTAGAGCAAGGCTGCAACCTCCATACTTGGAAAGATCTATGATTTTATCTTTGGGTGAGCTTCCTTTACCAGGCCAGTGGCAGTCCCTTCCCAGGATCATAAGATCTTAAAATTGGAATGGAGTCTGTAAGTCACTCTGTTCAACCCCCTCATCTTACAAGGAAGGAATCAGGCAAATGCCTTAGATAACTGTTCTTAGTGATGATTTAAGGATTTGATTGGAGTGGTGACTCTCTCCAGCCAGTTGGGAGTCTCTTTCAGTTTTCCTTAGCAGATTGCTCCTAAGGAGTTGTTATTTTGGGGGGGAAATTATCTGTCCTGAAGTCCTCGGGCCATATATGTATGGCTGGAAAAGGTCTTATGGGTCAAGTCCAATACCTTCATTTAACTGACAAACTGAGGGTCTAAGAGGTAATGAGCCATGTCCTGTGGGGCCTTGGGCTCTGATTCAAGGCATCTACAAGCCAGGCTGCATTTCTAACTCCTCCTCCTCCTTCCCCCTTCCAACTCCTGTGTTGTCTTCTATTACAATTCAGAGACTGTCTTGCTTCCTTGTCTTTGCATCCCCAGTGCTCAGCACAATGTCTGGTACATAGTACCAGTACATAGTGCTCAGTAGTAGGTGCTTCTTCATTCATTCATTCATTCATTCCCCAAGTACACCCAAGCCATAAGCAGTAGAATGGGAAATGGAACTCAGGTACTGTCAAGTTAACAAACATTTATTAAACACTTGTGTACCGGGCACTGTGCTTTGTGACTCCAAGTTCCCAGTTCAGCACACTTTCCACTGAATCATGTTCCTTGATGGCCAAACCTGGTGGTAGGTAACTCCTATGGCATTCCAATAGTTAGGTCTTTGGACACTAGACCACATTGAGCCCAGGGTGTCCTGTGTAGTGAAAGAATACTGGATTCACTCAGGAAGATCTAGCTCTGACCCAATAACTCTGGGACCATGGATAGATTTAACTCTTGTGAGCCTCAGTTTATTCAGTGTTTAAAGGGGAATAGTGGCACTTGTATACTTCAGAAGGTTGTTGGGAGGAAATCATTTTGCAATAATTAAGATAGAGACTGAACCTGTGATCTAATTGATATAGAGAACTTCATATATGGAAACTCCCTCAACCATTGCTGGTCCAGATTGTCTTAGAGAGTGACTTAGGGGAGCCCTTCTCAAAGTGTGGTCCATAGATCCCAGAAGATCTCTGATTCCCTGTCAGCGAGTTGGTGAAGTTGAAACTATTCTTATAATAATAGTAGGTATAATAGTAATAATAAATAAATAGTAAGTATAATGTAATAATAAGTATAATAGTAATAAAAAATAAATAGTAAGTATAAAATAGTAAGATGTTATTTACCTTTTTTACACTCATTCTCTCAACAATTGCACAGTAGAGTTTTCCAGAGGGTACCTGACCCACGTTAATTAACAATTTAGCAGCAAACATAAAGACTGAGTTACTCCCTCTTCTGCCTTCCAAGTGGATGAATCTACAGACATGACTGGACTGGCTCTTTTGCTTTCAATTGTTGATTATCAGCATCAACTAATCACCAAAGAAGAATCTTTTATCTGAACGCCTGGCAACAAACACAAGTGGTGCTGAAATATTCAAAGTCTTGACTAACTTTCTGGAACCTCATGGTTCATCATAGGACAACTGTGTTGACATTTGTACTGATGGAGCAAACCTAATGGTGGGTAAAACTGCTGAGAGCATGAATTAAGGCAAAGGTACCCCTAGGCACCATGTAGTTAAAAAAAAAAAAAACAACGAAACAAGCCAGTTTCACTGACAAATGTCCTTAGTGAAGCATTAAAAATGATTAATTTTTTATTAAATTTCTGTCCTTGAGTACACATCTGTGTGACAAAATAGGTACGATGCATAAATCATTTCTTTGTGCTATGGTAAGATGATTGTCTTGAGGAAAAACACTTGTAGGACTGAGTCATGAGCTGAACTAGCTACTTAAAAAAAAAAAGGAATACCATTTCTACTTAAAAGAATATCAGGCAAATGAGAGTTATTCAGACTTGGGTATCTGGAACACATTTTCTTGAAAATGAATGAAGTGAGACTGTCATATCAAGGACAACAACTGACAGCATTTGTGGCCAGTGAGAAAATTCAAGCTTTTAAGTGAATATTAGAATTTCGGAAAACTTCTATCTGCCACCATGAGTTTCCCAGCTTCTCATTACTTAAAGACTTTTCAGCTGAGATGGGTGGTGATATGATATAATCACAAATGTGATTTTAAAAATATATTACATAATGAAATGTGTCAACATTTGGAAGCTCTGCATGATTTACTGGACCAATAATTTCTAAATTTCCATGTTATAAAATCATAGATGCGTAAAAGATTCATTCAAAGTGCAAGATAGACCATTGGGTTTTAATGTAACAGAGTATGAAAAGTTCACTGACGTAGTTTCTGTTGCAACTAACCTTTAAGAAACTAGCACCTGTTAAGTTTTGGTGTAGTACCAGAGAAGATATCCACAATTATGTGGAAAGGTTATTAAAATACTCCTCTCTTATCCAACTCCATATCTGTGTAAAGCTGGATTTTCTTCATATATTTCAACCAAAACAACCTATCATAACAGATTGAATGCAAAAACAGATTTAAGAATCCATTTGTCTTCTATTAAGCTAGACATTAAAGAGATTTACAACAGTGTAAAATAATATCACTCTTCTCACTAAATTTGTTTTTGTTTTGTAAATTATGGTTATTTTTTCATAAAAATGTTATTTGTGTTAATATACAATGGTTTCATTATTGTTATTTTAAATGAATTAATAAGGAAATGTTTTTTAAATGATCAGTTTTAATTCCTAATATAGTAAATATTGATAGATATAACCCACATAAACAAAAGCTCTTCGGGGTTCCCAATCAGGTAATATAAAGAGTTCCTGAGACCTAAAGTGAGGTATTGTGCCAAGCATTGGAATACTGTGCTAAATGCTGTCATAGGCCCTCCTCTTCTTCTTTTTCTTTGTACTATTTCATTAGCTCCCAAGAATTCAATTATCATAGGTATGCAGATGATTCCTGGATCTATATATCCATCCCTCATTTATCTCCTGAGCTCCAAACCCACATCACCAACTGTCTATTGGACATTTCAAATTGGATGTCCAATACACATCTCAAACTCAACATTTCCAAAACAGAACTTATTATAATTGTCCCTAAATCCTCCCTTCTTTTGAACTTCCCTGTTATTGTCAAGGCTATCACCATCCTAGTCATTGATGTTTGAAATCTTGGTGTCAACCTTGACTCTTTGCTTACACCCATCTCACCTATCCATTCAGTTGTCAAATCTTGTCATTTTTGCTTTTACAACATCTCTTGTATATGTCCCCTTCTCTTTATTCATCTAGCTACTACCCTACTTCTGACCCTTATCACCACTTTTCTGGATTATTGAAATAACCTTTTAACTGGTTTCCCTTCCTCAAGTCTTTCCCTACATTGATCCATCCTTTGCTTAGCTGCCAAAGTAATTTTCCAAAATGGAGTCATGCTTGTGTCACCTCCCTATTAAATAAATTTCAGTGGCTCCTTATTAACCTTGGGATCAAATGTCTTTTGTTTGGCACCTGAAGCTCTTCACAACCTTGCCCCCTCCTAACTTTCCAGTCTTGATTCACTTCTATGAGGTGTACAATCCAGCCATACTGGCCCATTTGCTGTTCCCGGAATGGGACACTCAGCCTCCTTCCTTTGCACTGCCTGTCCCTCAGGCTCATAATGCTCTGCCTCCTCATCTCTCGGTCCTAGAATTCCTGGCTTCCTTTGAGACTTCTTTCAAATACAACCTCGTGCAGGAGGCCTCTGCTGGTCCCTGCCTTCCCCCTATCGCCAGCTGCCAAAGTTTTCCCATCCAATGCTACCTTCCATCTACTCTATGTATCCTGTATCTACCTAATTATTGACATGTTGTCTCTGCCACTAAAATGTGAGCTCGTTAAAGGCAAGGCTTATTTTTGTCTTGATCTGTA